AAAAAAAAAAAAAAAAAAAAAAACAGACATAAGGGCAACCAAGCCTTTGATCCAGGGAGCTGATACTCAATGCGTGCAAGGATCTACAATGTGTGCACCACCTACAGTGGTGCCCGCTTGACGACGTTAATTCGTTCCAGCGAAATTGCTGTAGAGCGAAAATGTTGTAAAGCAAAATAAAAAAGCCCATTGAAACGCACTGAAAACCGTTCAATGCGTTCCAATGGGCTGAAAAACTCAACGTCCAGCGAAGATCCTCCACGGGGGGGCCAATTTCGGTGCCTGTAGAACGAGGAATCCGTCCAAAAACACAGCGGGGAGCCATTTTGAGCACCCGGTGGCCATTTTGAAAACCCGTCAATCAGCTGTTTTGATCGTCATAATGCGAAGAATCAGTTCCCAAAGCAGGGAACCGATCTTCGCAAAGCGAGAAAAAACCATTTAAAACATTGTTTTTGCAAAAACATCGCCGTGAAGCGGATTCGTTGTTATACAGGGTAATCGTTAAGCGGGGCACGACTGTATATTGCTTATTACAGAAACAAAACCGCACACCTGTACGTGCCTAGGAGGGGGCCTTCCCGGAACAAAACTATGAGCTGGTGGCCATTCTGAGCAGCTGGCTGAAGGCATCCGTTGCAGGCCACCGTATTAACCCGTATGCTTTTTGCTCACAATGGAACATCACTGGCTCTTCGGATGTTCCTGAAATTCTCAAAATACCTTACCACTGGTTCTGCTGACCGGGCAGGACCAGGAACTGCGAGCCGAAACATCTAGAAGGCCAAACGCTGGCCCAAAAGGGAGAGAGCAAAAGGCAACCTCTCTAAACGTTGCTTGGCTAGGTCTTCTAGCCGTCCTCATCGTTGGCTACACCAGCTAGTGCTAACGGGAGTTGGAGTCACAGAATCATGACATTGGAAGGGGTCTACGAGGCCATCAAGTCCAACCCCATGATCGATGCAGGAATACAAATCAAAGGATATCTGCCAGGTGGTTGTCTAAGTTTCTTGAGTCCAACAGACTTTGCCCTTTTCTTGCTCCCAAGGAGGAGGATGAATACTATTGTCACCTCACCTGCCATGTTGACTTTAAAAACAGCCTCTCTCTCTCTCTCATACACACACACACACACACACACACACACACACACTGTACACTTGCACCTCTTCGCTGTCTCACACGCCCCAGAAAACCTCCAAAACTCTCTACACGTCCTTCCTCCAAAGAAAAAAGATGCAGAAAAGAACGGGGGGGGGAACCACCCTCAAACCCCTTTACCTCGACCAAAGAACATGCAAATTAAAATGGAGTTTATGCAAAAACAAACGAAGAGAACTTCCCAGGCACTGGCATGATCTGTTCCAGTTGCAGAACTTTTAAAACGGAATATTTCAGGAATATATATATGTATATGTATATATTTTTAAAAGAAGTCCACCCTGTCTCTACAAGCTGGTCCAGATCCATGACTATGCCGTGCATACGGGTAAATTGCAACCCAGCGCCGTCTTCCCTGCGTCTTGGATGTCCGGCTTGACATCGGGGGCCTCGGAGCCGAGGTTGTCGGCGGCGGCGGGCAGAGGGCTCGGCTCCCTGGCCTTCGGAGGCTGGTCGTTCTCTGCGTAAGCCTCGAGGATGGTCTGCTTCTCCAGAGCCGTGTACTCCAGGGAGAACCGGTGGACCTGCAGGATGTGCCGTTTGATGGTGCTGACCTTCAGCGTGGCCAAGGTGCCCCCGCACACCATACAAATCAACCCATGTCGCTGTTCGTCGTAATCCATCAGGTATTCCTCCCGCCAGCGTGGCTGGTAGTTCCGGCGCTGGCACCGGCGCAGCGCAGTGCCAGTCAAGGGAGACGTGGCCCCCGGGGAGCGCTGGGAGGGAGCCGGTCTCCCTGGCCCCGTCACCTCTTCCTCCTCTTCTTCCTCTCTCCCCGGCGTCGCAACCTCCTCTTGAGATTCCTCGGGAGACAAAGAAGCCTTGCGTGGGTACTGCAAATCCACTGCAAAGATATTGAAAAGGAGAGACTGTGAGCTGGCAGAGATTTGGGCAACCCAGTCATGGCTACGTTCACTTATTCAACAACCCAACTTTGCCTTCTGACTTCCAGATCATAATGAAGTCAGAAGGGACCTCTAAAGGCCATCGAGTCCAACCCCCTGCTCAAGGCAAGAATCCAAGCCAAAGCAGATCTGACAGAGGATGGTCCGATTTTTCTCTTGAATGTCTCCAGCGCTCACCACCTCCGTGGTTAATTGGTTCCACTGTCGTACTGCTCTAACAGTTAAGAAGTTTTTCCTGATCTTCAGCCGAAATCTGGCTTCCTGTCGCTTCAGCCCGTTATTACATGTCCTGCACTCTGGGATGACGGAGAACAGATCCTGCCCCTCCTCTGTATAACAGCCTTTCAAATACAGTGGTGCCTTGCTTAACGACGTTAATCCATTCCAGCGAAATCACTGTAGAGCAAAAACGTCGTAAACCGAAATTAAAAAACCCATTGAAATGCATTAAAACCCAGTTAATGCGTTCCAATGGGCTAAAAACTCACCGTCCAGCCATACGGCAGCCATTTTCGGTGCCTATATAGCGAGGAATCCGTCCCTAAGCACAGCGGGGAGCCATTTTGAGCCCCCGCCGGCCATTTTGAAACCCCGACGATCAGCTGTTTTGATCATCGTAATGCAAAGAATCGGTTCCCGAAGCAGGGAACCAATCTTCGCAAAGCGAAAAAGACCCATTTAGACCATCGTTTTGCAATTGCAATTGCGATCGCAAAATCATTGTCGTGAAGCGGATTCGTCGTAATGCGAGGTAATAGTTAAGCGGGGCACAACTGGATTTGAAAAATGCTAGCCTACCTCCCCTCAGTCTTCTTTTCTCAAGGCTAAACCTGCCCAGTTCTTTCTGCCTTCCCTCATAGGCTTGGTTTCCACTCCCCTGATCATCCTTGTCGCCCTCCCTCCGAACTTGCTCCAAGTTCTTGGCATCCTTTTTAAACTTTAATTCCCAGCACCAGACACAGAACTTAAGATGAAGCCTAACCAGTGCTGAATAGAGTCCAACTAATACCTCACAGGATTTGGAGACTATACTTCCTCTTCCCTCCCCCTTCTTATCTTCTTCATGTGGAGCACCTTTTAAAGTCAGAAGACTGGATAACCCCAAGCTATTCTATGGTGGACAGTTCCGATATTTCTTTTGCTTAAGGCGGTGGTTACATGCATCCCATTGCTTCTGAATTAGGCTGACGCCAGTAAGGTTTTTGAATGGAGCACCTTTTAAAGTCAGAAGACTGGATAACCCCAAGCTATTCTATGGTGGACAGTTCTAAGACACTCCGATATTTCTTTTGCCTAAGGCGGTGGTTACATGCATCCCGTTGCTTCTGAATTAGGCTGACGCCAGTAAGCTTTTTGAAATATATGAGTGGTTTTCCCGCGGCCATCCCCAATGAGTTCCCACGGCCCAAGCAGGGTTTCGAACTCGGCCTCCTGAGCCTCAGTCCCACGTGCTCCATCCACGCCCCCACCCTGGCTCTCCTTGCTTAAGGAGCAGGGAGGAAAGGAGGGAAAGAAACAAACCAAGCCGGCTACCCCCTTTCCCAACGGGAAGGCCGTCTAGCCTTCCCCACAAAGGAGAGCCTCCCGTTTCGACAGGCTTCCAGCCAAATCGAGTTTAACGATGCCGGGGCGAAATGAAGGGAGCGAACGAGGGCCTTGAAGCTGCCCATTTCACAAGGATCAGGAGCTAAAGAGCAGGCAGACCGAGCAGCGCAGCTCAGCGTTGGTCTCCTCTTCCCCAGTTCTAGCAAGATGGCTCAAGTCTTTTATTTACATCACAGCTGGCCGATGGGGGGGGGGTCCTTCCAAGCCATCTCCTGCTTAGCCCCTGACACCACCCTGCATAAACCCCCCATAACCTCTGGGGACACACAGAGGGAGCCATTTTGCCCCCCTCCCCATCCCCCAACTTCCTTAGGAATTGGAGGAAAATGTTCTCAAAATCAGAAGTGACAATGAGCGACCACCTCCTTTCCTGCCTCTCCGTGCGCGCCCTCCGAGCCTTGTACCAGATTTCAGCCATCATAAAAAGCATGCAATGCAAAGCGTGCTGCTTATATACCGCCCCATAGCGCTTCAAGCCCTCTCTGGGCGGTTTACAAGTTAATTATGCAGGCTACACATTCCCCCCCCCCCCAAGCAAGCTGGGTACTCATTTTACCGACCTTGGAAGGATAGAAGGCTGAGTCAACCTTGAGCCGGCTACCTGGGATTGAACCCCAGGTCGTGAGCACAGTTTTGGCTGCAGTACAACGGTTTAATCACTGCGTCACGAGGCTCCAAACCCTGGAATATGCCAGGACCCCTAAATGCAGTCGCCAGCCCCATTAAGGGGATTTCTGACTAGCAGCAATGATAGTACCACCGGCCACCTCTCTCCTTAGGCACCCTTGTTTACTCTGAGCTTAACTACAAGTTTCACAGTAAGTGGAGTAGAAATGGGTTTTCCCCAAAAACATTTTTCTTTTGCAAGCTGTCCGTGCTATAATTCAAAGTGCTAGAAGCTGGTTCAGTACCCAATGAGCAAGTAAGAGCTATTCACTTCACAAAAGACCTGCTCCTCATTTCCCCTTTATTCCTCCCCAGAGGTGGTCAAGACATGAGCTGTAACCGACATGAAAAATTCCCCTCAGGATGTTCTCGGACTCCACTGATGGTCCCTGAAGCTTTCTTCCCTCAGTTCTGCAGTCAGATATTGACAGCCCCAAGTCTTTCCAAACCCCCCAAAACCACCACCCCTAAATAAAACAGGAAATACCTTGCCCTGTTTTGATTTCTCAGCATTTTTTCACAATTTCCAGTGGTGGGACTGCTGTTGGTGTGTCCTAAAAGTCCCAGAACCCCTTCAACTTAAAAAAAATATTTTTTTGCTTGCTGACTGGATTGACCTCCCTCACAGAAATTGAGACCGAAGCCAGCTTACAGGGTAAGCAAATAAACAAATGCAAGTTAAAAAAAAATAAAGAAGAACGCCAAAAACATTAAAGCATAAATAAACGAAACAGTTTTGAAAGCTACTTTAAAACCTTGCACCTAAAATAATCACAACCAGAGTGGTCCAGTTTGGTATTTTTCGAGCGCAGCTCTCAGAATTCTGCCAGGGATGCAGCCGCTGAGGGAACGCTGGGAGTCGTAGTCCCTACAAACGGGCTTCCCTCTCCCTCGCAGAGCCTTCACATCCTGCTTTGCTGGATGAAAAAAGAAACGCTCGGTCCCTGTCATCCATCTCCCGCCTCACCTGGGTCTGCCTCGGCATCCGTTTCGGGCAGGGAATCCTCCGTGTCCAACAGCCGGGCTACTTTTCGGTTCCACTCCTTCACGATCAGGGCTTTGACCCGGTGGCTCAAGCGGGTGGAATCCGGGTGCTTCTGCTGGATGTGGCGCTTAATGGTGCTCATCTTGAGGGTGGCCAGGGCGCTCCCGCACACCATACACACCAGCCCGTGGCGCAGGCCGTTGTAGTCCATCAGGTACTCCACCCGCCAGTGTTCCTGGAAGTAGCGCCGGTGGTCTCGGCCCCGGGCCGGAACGGCTGGACTGCTCCCTTCAGAATCCCAAGGGCCGGCCTCTTCGGTGGACCCGTCCTCCCCAGTTGGGGGGTCAGGCGACGGAGGCTGCTCCTTCACGCTCAGGTCCTGCGGTAACAGCTCTGATTTCACCTCTGGGAATGAGCAGTGAAAGCGGAAAATAAGAATTGATTTTTCTGGGCACCGGAAAAGCTTTTTCAAACTTTTCCAACCTAGTGCCTTAGTTTTGTATTACAATCCCCATCATCCTCAGCCAGCAGGATCAAGTTGAAATTATCTCGTATACAGTGGTGCCTCGCATTACGATTGCCCAGCATGACGACGAAACCGCATTATGATGACATTTTTGCAATCGTTTTTGCGATTGCAAAACAATGATCTAAATGGGCTTGTTTCGCTTTGCAACGATCGGTTCCCTGCTTTGGGAACCGATTCTTCGCAAAACAACGGTTTTTCTACAGCTGATCTGCAGTTTCAAAATGGCCACCAGGTATATAAAATGGCTCCCCACTGTTTTCTGGGATGGATTCCTCGCAAGACAGCCACCGAAAATGGCTGCCCTATGGAGGATCTTCGCTGGACGGTGAGTTTCCAGCCCATTGGAACGCACTGAAGGGGTTTCAATGCGTTTCAATGGACTTTTTATTTTCACATTACGATGTTTTCGTTCTACAGCGATTTCGCTGGAACGAATTAACATCGTAATGCGAGGCACCACTGTATTTCAATAGGTCTACTAGAAGTACAACTAAGTCTTGATCCCAACCCATTCTTAGGCTTTATGGATTATCATTACTCTTTCCTCATGATCTAATATTGAACTTAACAGAACATTTTGGTGTATTATTTACTCTGCCAATTTTTTTTTTAAATACGGTTCTTGTCCCAGCTAAATTGTTGACAGACTGAGGAGGAATTTTCATCTTGAAACATGGATGTACTTTCCCACTATTGCTTATTCTATTCTATTTTCAATTTATTTTATTTTTGTTTTATCTCTATCCTGCCTTTCCTCCAATGAGCTCAAGGCACAAGGCTCCATTTCCTCCCACTTTATTCTTAACAACAACCCTGCGCGGCAAGGCAGAGAAGAAAAGAGAGATTAGGCCAAGTTCCCAGTGACTTTTATGGCTGAACTGTGTTACCTGAACCCAGGTCTCCCATGTCCTCATCCACCTCTCTAACCACTAGATCACCTGGCTCTATCAGACGCTATTCTGGGGTTTCCTTGAAAACTCTTTGGCTCTCCGTTCCAGTTCAATGTCCAGCATCTACTAGGCATTTGACTGGAGAATGCAGATTTAATCACAAGCATTGGCTTGCAGGTTTAATTGTTGGATTGGTTAAAATAATTAAAATGGGTTTTAAAAAACCACCATGTTTTTAATTGGGTAACACCCCCAATAAAGACTTAAACCCACCGCCCTCCATAATGTGAAAGACAGTCTTCTTGGTTTTAAAATGGATCCACCATGATCCTTTATCATGAATCCGGGATCCGAGTTCAAGTTGTACCAGTTCAACACCCCGACGTCTGCACGGCCAGCCCTCCCTCCCTCCCTCGGCTCGCTTCCCATCTCACCCGCTGGCGCCTCCCCTCTACGCCTGCCCTCCGCCGCGAGCGCCGGCGTGCGGGAGTTCCACGCTTCCAAAATGGTGGCCTTCTCGGCCGGGCTGAAGCCGAGCGAGCTGGGATGGGCGTCCATCACATGCCGCTTGATGTCGTCCAAGTTGAGGCTGGGCAAGGAGGTGCCACACATCATACAGAAGAGCCGGTTGCCCTGCGGGTCGTAGTCCATCAAGAATTCAGACTGGAACCAGCTCTGGAGGGACTCTTTCAGGTAGCGCTCGAGGCTCCGAGCCTCTCCTTCCGAGGAGACTTTCAACGGCAGGTCGGACGATGACCGGCGTCCCCCACGAGAAGAGAGGGGTCGGGGAGCACGTCGCCTCCTGCGGCTGCCAAAGGAGAATTCGCCTGTCAGGACAACGAGAGGCATAAATGGAATCAGTCTTTCTCGTTTCTTTATCTCTCCCCGAGGCCTTCCTTTAAGAAGGATGCCCAGCTCGCTAGAGGAAGTTCTGAGGAGGGCGACACGGAGGATCAGGAGGGCTGGAAACCAAGCCCTCGGTGGAAAGATGGAAAGAGCTGGGCCTGTTAATCCTTGAGAAAAGAAGGCCGGGGGGAGATCTGATAGCACCTTTCAAATATTTGAAAAATAGTCGTACAGAAGAGGGGCAGGATCTGTTTTGAATCATCCCAGAGTGCAGGATGGGCTCAAGTTACAGGAAGCCAGATTTAGGCCGAATAGCAGGAAAAACTAACAGGGTTAGTGCAGTACAACCTATGACTTCAGGAGGTGGCGAGCGCTGAAGAGAAAAGTGGAGCACCTTCTGTCCGATCGGCTTTACAGTGGTGCCTCGCATAACGATGTTAATTCGTTCCAGCAAAATCGCTGTAGAGCTAAAACATCGTAAAGCGAAAATAAAAAACCCACTGAAACGCATTAAAACCCGGTTAATGCGTTCCAATGGGCTAAAAACTCACCATCCAGCGAAGCTCCTCCATACGGTGCCTGTCTAGCGAGGAATCCTCCCTAGAAAACAGCGGGGGGGCCATTTTCTTCAGCCGGCGGCCATTTTGGAACCTGACAATCAGCTGTTCGCTGATCGTCGTAATGCGAAAAATCGGTTCCCGAAACAGGGAATCGATCATCGCACAGGGGATTTTGCCTATAGGAAGCATTGTTTTGCGATCGCAAAAAGTCGTTAAGCGGATTTGTCATTATACGGGGCAATCGTAAAGCGAGGCACGACTGTAATTTGGATTCATGCACTGAGCAGGGAGATGAACTCAGTGGCTTTCAAGCCCCTTCCAACCCAATCACTCTATGATTCTGCGATTCTAGGCGAACTCTAACCTGAAGCCACCCGCATTTTAAAAATTACCATGCTATCGTACAGCAGTAGCAAGACATCAAACAGATCCTGCACACACAGCTTGGAAATTTTACTTTCTGGACAAAAGCATTTCCTTTCATTGCTTGTTTGCAATGCATTCTTCTCTGCTCCTTTTTGAAATAAGAATCATTTTTAAAAATACGGACGGTCGTCCAAAAGGGCCTCGCTGAAGGTCCTCCAAGAAATAATAATTTGAAGCAACTGGTAAGCCCAAAACGTCTCCAAAACTATCCACAAAAGTAAGGTTTTGAAGCAACAATAAATGTTACTAACAGTTTACACACAAGCCAACTTTGCTCCTCTTCCCAAACCTCTCACGCTTAGCGAAATTAGCCATGGGGGCTTGCTCCTGCATGATTCAAAAAACAGGAATGAGCAGCGATGTTGTTCTGACTGTTCCCCTCCCGCGCCCAAGCGCGAAGCCAGCATTCTGCTGGATCGGGCCCTCCTACCTTGGCTCCCCGGCTGGGCCTCGGAGGCTTCGGCTGCGTCCCGCGCCCCGTCCGACTCCGTCTCCAGGCCCAAGTGGGCGTCCCAGCTGTTCATGATGACCTCCTTCTCGTGGGCGCTCCACGCCAGAGAGTAAGGGTGCTTCTGCCGGATGTGCCTCTTGATAGTGCTCAGCTTGAGGGTGGCCAGCGAGCTGCCGCACACCATGCAGATCATGCCGTGGCGGGCGGCGTTGAAGTCCATCAGGTACTCGGCCCGCCAGTGCTCGTGGTAATACCGCCGGTGGTCCCGCCCGGGGATGCGGCTCTTGCCCGGTCGGGAGGCCCGCTCTTCGCAGTGGTCGGAGTATTTGCGCCCGCCGGCGAGGAGGGCGGAAGGCTCCTTGGCGTTCCGGTGCAAGAGGCCATTCCCCGCCGGCCACAAGGGACGTCCCGAGTTCAGGTCACCGCGGTGCCGAGAATTAGATACCACATCTGGGGATGGGGAGTCACCTGCGGGGAGCCACACAGGCACAGCGGTCATCACAACAACAACACAACAGGAACTGTAACAGGGTGGGCCGAGCATTCATGCCAGCTGACCCTAGCCTCTTCTGTCACACGCCCACCCCGTGTGGTGAGTGGATGCAGGGATGAACTAGGGCTCAGAAGGCCTGGGTTCAAATCCACACTCAGACCTAAAAACTCACTGGAGGGTGGCACTGATAAAACCACTCCTTAATTACCTCACTTACCTTGAAAACTTTTATCAGGGTCACTATAAGTTGGTTCTGACTTGACGGCACGTAACAATACGTAAATTCTCCCTGCCCACCTGACTTTAAAAATGCGGACAGGGATTCTGTGTTGCTCTGGATGAGTCCAGTTTCTATCACCGCCAGGAGCCGTGGCCAATGGTCAGGCATGATGGGGGTCGGAGTCCTACAAGATCCACCAGGTTCTCCCGTTCCCGACTCGTGCTTTACGCACCAGAGTTGCAAAATCCAAAATTTCTCGGTAGCGGCCATTCACAATTTCCAAAGTGACACTCCAGCCGTGGAAAAAAATAACCAGTTGCCATTATCACCAGTTCCCAGTTTCGGTGGGGAGAGCTGCTGTCTTCCCTGTCTTGTTTACGGGCTTTTTGGAAACATCTTGTGAATGGATTTTGTACCTGACACCATTTTTAAGAATATAAAAAAAAACATCGTTCTTTTTATTCTTAACAACATCCGCTACTTCGGACATCCAAAACAAAGGGATACTCCGGTTATGCTGGAGTAACAGGCGGCTGCGGATTCTGGGGCTTGTATCCAACAGATCTGCAGAGCCCCATATTGGGCAAAGCCAGCGTAAAAATAAAATGCCTGACTTTTCTGGAGTCCAAGGCGAGTGGGTCCTTTAAGAACCCTGAGCAATCATCAGAACCCGAGGACAAGCTTCATCCCCATGCCTAGCATCAGAGCCGGCTTCACAGACCCTCGGAGAAGGCAACCCAAGAGGGTATTAAGGCTGCGATGCCCTAAAATCTCTCTCCTTTACCCAAAAATGTAATTTAAAAATATATATATATATCGCCATGCAAGCAGGGGAAACAAGAGAGAGAGAAAAGGTCTAGAGGGATGGAAGAAAATTAAAGTGAATACGCAGAATATTCATCTCTGGGCAGAAATAAATCTACAGGCAAACCCTGGGAGGTCTCTGCCCTCAAGGAGTATACAAGGCAAGGATCTGGAGGTAAGAAGGGAAGGAATCAGAATCCTTGGCTGGGGACTACAGGCTGTCAATCGCCGGGAAAGAAGAGGGAAGGAGGGATCCTGTTCCTTTTGAAAGGGGGAGCAGAAGAGAGGGGGTGGCCTCAGAAAGGTCATTTCCCAAAGCCAGAAGGGACCTGGGGGGGGTGGAAATGCTCAAAAACATCATCTGGGGTGGCCTCCCTCATTGCTCCTGCAGACACACACAAAAAATGCAAACTGCAAAAAAAAAATGCAAACTGCAAAAAAAAAAATGCAAACTGCAAAAGCACCCCTCAAGGCAAGGCTAGGAGCCCATCTCTTCCCCCTTCCCAGGCTTTGTAAAAAAAAAAAACTTATTTATGCATTTATTTATCCATTGGTATGGATAAACAAATGGGGGGGGTGCAGAGGGGATGCCCGGGAAGAGGGATTTTAAAGGAGCCCCCCACCCCTCCTCGACCTGCTCCCCCATCCCTCCCTCCGCCCAGCTGTGCAAACT